GGCAGACCCAACATTAGGATGAATCAATTAGGCCGCCATTAGCCAATGAAGTGGCTCTCGCTGAGTCGTGTAATTATGACCCACAGCAAAGCCAATTTCATGGAAGCACATTATCCTTTTTTTCTCTTTCTCTCCTTCTCATTTGTTTGAGGTAATCCTCCCGTTGTTGTAATTATGTGCTTCAGTTTCAGCGCGGAATAAATAAATCATCATTCGTGGACACGGTTCAGTCTGTGGTTTCGGTCCGCGTCTGGGAAAAAATGGCCACTTTCTGCTCGGTTCAATTAGAGAGGAATGCTGTGAAGCAGAAATCTGTGTGATAGGACGCTGTGGGGAAGAGCCCATATTACAGGCAGGCAGCTACTTAGCTTGTTCCCAGCTCCGAGGACGCTGTGTAAGTGTGACAATGTGCTGTCAATGAGGGATGACAGTACACAGCCAACATGGCGTTATGCATTGTTCCTTCCTGGGTCCCTCCTGACAGATGCTCTCCAAGACAGCTGGATCAGCAGCGAGAGCGGGATGCAGGCCGCGCCACGCGCGAGCAGAGCGATCCTGATTAGCAAGGCCACGTACACGTGTCAACAAGCCGAGTCAGGGGACCGCGTCTGGGGGTCCGTGCTCGATTTAAGACCCCCTTCATGTGCTGCGTTTGAGCATAATGCAGCCGTTGGAAGAGGCAGGCCTGCCTGAGCGGGTCGTCTTGTGTTTTTCCATGACCTTTCTCATTTAGCCAGAGAGGAAAAAGACTGGCGGATAGTTTCTCTCTGTCTCCTGTCCAAGACGTCTCCTAAGGAATGACCTTCTCTGCAACAGGCGCTCTTAGAAGACTGATGCTGGAGGAGCTTCGAGCCAAGTAAAATAAACACTGCGGGAATGTTAAGCAGGAAACTTGGCAGGCATGAAGAGAATTGTTTTTGTAGACACTGAGGATTTTTACATCTCCTTTTCATTCGACAGCCTCGGTAACTCCAGCACTCTTTAAAATCTTCCCACTTGAATGTCTTACTCTCAGGTTAATCTTGAGGTTAATTTTGTAAAGTCAAGATATTTATTAGAGAATTTCACAGCCTTCGGAATACCAAAAGAGGTATATTATTAGACTTTCAAACTAGAAAAGCAGCAGCCGGTCGGCCTTCATCAGTACTAATATCCTCAAATACTAAAAATGGATTCTGAACTTCTGTCCTATTTTTTATTCAATGTCACCAGGCTAAGAAAATCGTGTGAATTGATTCACTTTACAATGTTTTGTCAATCAAATGAGGGTTATGGAGGTATTCTAAGTTTAGGTTTCAACATTTTCTTTCCAGATTCTGGACATTACATTAAGTCCAGTACTAAGTAATACTGGACTGGACCTAAACAGTTTCTGAGATCAAATGCAGCTACTTGCAAAGCACAGTCTGTGGACTTTGGTAGCTTTATTTGAATTATAAAAAAAATTGAAATTAAGTTTCAATTCAACCTAAAAAGCCTTTAAATTTGTAGATTTGTAGAGGGTGCAAGGAGGTAGTGAGTCCCACTTTTAGAATTCGGTACTAGAGTTCGGGTACTCAGAAGTTTGTTATTTTTTTCAATAAGTTCTGAAAGTGGCTTATTAATCTCAGGAAGTCATCCTCAAATCCCAGGAAGTCAGTCCCAATAACCACAGGAAGAAGGTCCTGAAATCACCAAAAGTCGTCATCATCAACTCAGTCCAGAAGTCAGTCCCAAAAATCTGGAAGTCGATCCTGAAATATCAGGAAGTCGGTCAAAATCCCAGAAAATCGATGCGTGATGACAGGAAGCTTGCACTGTAATAACAGGAAGTCTATCCTGAAATCACTGGAAGTAGGTCACAAAATTACAATACTAGTCAATACTAAATAAGAAGAAGTTGGTCCCAGCAGGAAGTAAATTTAGCCATAAAACAGCTGACATTAGGTTTCTGTGTTTATTCTAGGAAGATGCAGGAGAATGTTTACATTTTGGACAAAGAAGACAGGTGGTTTGAAAGGGGAGTGAAGGAAGCCATTTATGTTAAGAAAGAAAAACCAACTTTAAATAGAGGAGGTGGACTCGGGGTTCAGCTTTTTAAAAAACCTACAATGCAGCGATAGAGTTGATTCCTTCCTGATATCATCGCAACCCCCACCCCCATACAGGGAACCAAAGCATCTTGCCTGTTCAGCCAGGCCAACAATTCCCCCTAACGCCCCTTCAGGGTTTCCGCAGTTCCTTAAAAAGTCTTAAAAGGCATTGAATTCTTCAATATAAAATCAAGGCCTTACCGCAGTAGACATGGTGATTCGTTGCGTTCGCCTGTCTGCTAAGGTCAAAACAACCGCGCCTGGCTTGACGGAGAAACCAGGAGAATAGCTGAGCATATTTGCGACAGTGCACTTTTACTTTCGCCCTCTGGGGGGAGCCTCGCTGGAAAATCAACACCGGTTGCATAGTACACCTTTAAGTGGCATTAAAAAGTCTTAAAAAGTCTTGAGTTGAACTTGCCTTATGCTGTAGGAACCCTCCCCTTTCAGAGGCATAGACCAGTATCAGTGATTTCAGGTTTACAAAGAACTCAAACGACCCCCATTCCCCAGGGGCGGACCCATTCGTATGGTTCCATTTGCATGTTTTCTAAGCCAAACAAGGCTTGGTTTTGGTTCACTCTATAAAGCCTCAAACTCAAAGCTATTTCTGACATTTGAATTGAAAAAGCTTCCTGGATGGGAAGCAAAACATCACATGCGAACCGAACCAAGACAGTCGAACCGAACGGTTCGGACGGTTTTCATAAACCGTTCCGTCCCTATAAGAAAGGTTAATATCTTCCAGTGTGACCTTTTTTTTGTAGGTTTCTTTGAAAAAATATAGCTGATTAAGTAAACAAAGAACACAATAGAGAGCATTTCTACAATCAGTCAGGGAATATTTAGCTGTACAAAAGGTTGAAATTAAAGTATAAATTAAGATATTTCAAACAAATGTAATGACTCTCTGAGGTTTGGACTCCCAGCATTAATGGTACATATGGCAGCACCATATTTACATTCTAAAAGCAAAATAACTAAAGTACAGATTGATTTAAAAGCACCTTCATTTGATCAAATCAACCTTTTCTCTCTAGATATTTTCTCCTCATGATGAGCACCATTGGAAGTAGGGATGCACGATATTGGGATTTTGGTCGATATCCGATATTTTAAAACTCATGTAGCAGATAACCGATATCGATACCGATGTTAAAGCTGGACAAAAATAAGTAGTCATTGAAAATAGCAGTTTTGTTATCCATTTCTGACACTTTGAAAAATAATATACTCAAATATATTTTCATATGCTGATATCAAATTGATTTTTAAAAACGCGGTATCGATCTATTTTACTTTCAAAATCTCATGAAATTTCATCGTTCTGTTACAAACTCTCGTGATATTTTCAAATTCTTGTGAGATTTTGTTAGTAAAATAGATCGATACCGCGTCAATATATCAACATATAAAAATATGGCAACATTTCGTGAATTTTCGGGGGATTTCGTAGCATAACGATGACATATAGCAATATTTCATTAGTAAAAGAGATTGATATGGTGTTTTTAAATGGCAATATATCAGCATATGAAGATATCGTGATATTTTAATGGATCAATATTTTTTCCCTCGTCTTTAGAAGTTTTTAAGTCTGTAAAAAAGAAGTTTTTGAGGAAGAAGAAGAAGTAGTATTTTATTATTATTTTTTTTTAGACTTTAGAAACTCAGAAGCTGATCAAATATCAGGTTAAATATCGGTGGGGTGGCCGATGTCCGATATTCAGTTTTAAGGCTGATACCGATAGGGGGCCGGTTATATCGTGCATCCCTAATTGGAAGGATTAACAAGATTATCATTCCAGTCCTTCACTTTCTCTGTCAGAAAACCTGCAGCACATTTCAGGTGAAAATCTCTGGATTTGGTGATCAGATGCTAAAGGAACCCAGAAATCTGCCTCCAGGTGATCTCTGATGCTTTCAGGCTGCCTGGACTCTTTTCTTTCACCTTCTAGAACATTCACAGGACTACTGCTGGTTTCCCTGCTGGAAGAACCTCCTGCTGGTTTCCCTGCTCTGGATGCTGCGTTGTGCCCTCATTTTAACACCTACTTCGTTGGGGTATTTATGAGGCTGTAGCTGAGGGCCTCTGAGCTGGTGAGCAGTCAGGAGGAGAAGGGAGCAGCGGGGGCCACCATGATGGATGTTAACCGAAGCAGACAGGAGGGTTTAGAGTTTCTGACGGAGCGGGCTGGATCGGGTCATAACGTGGAGGTAGAGCTGCCTGAATCCTCCCCTGTGAGCCCGTCTATAGATTACTGACGCACTCTGGGTACAAACCGCCTCCTCCTTCACTCAATCTACCGCCCGCTGAGTCCGCAGCCTGAACCTTTGACCCCTTCCATCGGCTGCTCGTACAGCAGGCCTCGTTCTCATCACAGTGACCCTCCCCTCGTCTGGGGTTAACGCACCGAACGCCCCCATCATCTCTGAATTAAGGACGGCGTCCGTGATGTACGGTTCTGAATAGTCTGGATCCTGAACTGGTTGTTGAAATGGACGGCTTTAAGGTGGAGGGAGAGGAGTCTGAGCTGGGGGAATGTTTTCACCTCAGAAAATGGAAGGTGGGCTTTAAATGTCCTAAATGACAAGGGAGACCTCTAGTGGAGGGCGGTTCTACCCACACACACACCCTGCTAAACCACGTCAGAACCTGTTGGTTCGTATGAAACGTTCCACATATCTTTATTTGCACAGAAAGAGATAAACTATTGTGTTTCGTAGCAGCGGAGATGACGCCACTGAGAAGGAGACATAGGTGGAATTTCTTAGGCTAGATTAGAGTCTAGTTTAATGCTTTCTGGAGTCTTTTTCTGCCTCCCTGGATGTTAAACGGATGCTGCTGTGTCTGTTCTGCTGACAGCGTGTTAACGGCGCAGGTGTGACCTTTCAGATCTGACCTCTGACCTGCTTTCTTCTCCACAGTGCTCAGCATCCGCGGCGCCCAGGAGGAGGAGCCTCCAGACCCACAGCTCATGCGCCTGGACAACATGCTGCTGGCGGAGGGCGTGTCCGGCCCGGAGAAAGGCGGGGGCTCGGCAGCGGCGGCGGCTGCGGCGGCCGCCTCAGGAGGGGTGGGGGCCGACAACTCAGCGGAGCACTCGGACTACAGGGCCAAGCTGTCCCAGATCCGACAGATCTACCACACAGAGCTGGAGAAGTATGAGCAGGTGAGCCCTCCTGGTTCTGATCCCAGAGTTTTACTACTTTAGACCGATTTATCATCTGAACCGTTTATGGCAGCGGAGCTTCGTCTGCCTCTGTCTGCTGTTAGAAAAGGAAAACTAAAACAGGAAACCAGAAGACTCCAAAGATAAAAATAAAATCATTATTATTTGGATCCTCAAAAAAAAATTCAAGGTTCCTTTTTATTTGGACCTTTATAACATTGGAGCCGTTAAAAGAGGAAAACACAGGATTAACTTAATAATTCAGACAAACTTAAAGTGAAAGTGAGTTTTCCTAGAAGCAACGCTGGAGTTCTCCATCTAACTGAAGGATTTATATCCTTTTTCCTCCTAAATCCTCCGTTTCTTATTGACCCTTTATTTGATAGACCAACACAACAGGTGCACCATGGTTAGGTAGGTGGAGAGTTACAGGTGATGCGCAAAATAATATAATTCAAATAAGTGGCCCCCTTCAGAGCCCCAAATACACTATTATTTCTGAAATTCATTGATTAGTATAAAAACAACTGTTCTATTATCTGAGAATAAAGAGAATCATATAATATCCCATGAATTTCACATATGAAAATCACATGTGAAAACCCATGCGACATTTAACATGATGGACACAAGTAATTGTAAATGTTGGGAGTTGGAACATTTCATTCTAAAAGCAGATGTGAAATAATTGTTTTCTTTTATTCACATGTGATTCATGTATTTTTGCATACGAATCATTTCTTCACATATGATACACACTTTTACACATGATACCAATTTAAAAGCATTTATCACATTATATTATGAAACTAAATAATATGTGAATCACGGGACCTAAAATTGCCCATTTAAATTATAAATTGCATGTTAACCTCTTAACATCCACCTCATTTTGGGTAAGCAAATAACTTAGGAACTGTAAGCTCAAATTACATGTGCAATACATTATCTGAAAGCTAACTCCCTTTAGTTTCCTATTATATAAATTAAAACTGGGTGACTAGAACACAGACCAACCTGCATCAGTTCAAACATGAATCAAAGTTGTTGTTTTTTTATTCTCGGAAATGATAGGTCTTTTTTTATTTTAGTAATAAAGACATTCTTAAGAAATGGCAGGTTTTATTGTATTATATTTGTTCTACGTCATGTCAACCACAAATGCAGAACATTTCAGACCTCTAGCTATAACAGTTCCAGAGCTGTGGGGTTTGGAACTTTTGATGTCAGCTTAAATGTTGCGCGCAATGGCTCCACCTGCTGGTAAAAATTTTACCGGTGGAATTTTATGCATTCTGAATTATTACCCCCACTTAAGGTCCTCTAGGTCGCCTTAAGAGGTTAAAATCCAAGCTTTCGCGTGGATTTAAAACTTTTCATGTTTACACATGTAACTCCAATTCAGAGCATGTGATTCACATATGAGGTACATGTGTTTCATCCAAAAACATTGGAATTACATGTGAAAACATGTGATTCATTTTATTTCACATGTGATAAATGCTTTCACATGATTCCTTTTTTTAAGCACGTGGTTCACATGTTAGACACATGTGAATCACATGCTTTTAAATGGGAATCACATTTAAAAGCCTATATCTTATGTGAATAAATGATTCACATGCAAAAACATGTAAATCTCGTATTTTCACATGTGATTTACATTTTTGCATGTTCTACACATGTGCCTAATTTTTTACTCAAATGTTTTAATGAAAATCACATAAAAACATGTCACAACTGAACGTTTTCGCGTATGATTCACATGTGACACACGTGTCTAAAATGTGAACCGTTTGCTTTAAAAGGGAATCATGGAAAGCATTTATCACATTTGAAAACAAATGAATTATTTGAATCATGATACAAGTTTTCACATGTAAATCCAATGATTTTGGATGAAACACATGTACCCCAGATGTATTTCACATGCTCAGAATTGGAGTCCCATGTGAAAACATGAACGTTTTTAAAGGTTTTAAGTTCACGCAAATGCTTGGACTTTAACATGTGATTCATAATGAATCTGGTCAATTTTAAGTCCCGTGATTCACATGTTATTTAGATTCATAAGATAATTTTCTCTTTTTATTTTGTAGAACATGACTACCGACTAACATAAACTAGCAGCTATAAATGAAGATCTATAAAATCAATATATTTGATAAAAGTAGATCAGTTTAATAATTAGTATTCGAAACTTTTCAGGATCAGAAAAAAAACTTCTAATATTTTAACATAAGGAACACAGCTTATAGATAATTTCTGATTAGAATGATCAATGAAGCTAATTATATTCACATGGGAAAAAATCTTAGTATTTGTTTCCCATGTGAGGAAGATGCGAGTTTCACATGTGATCAAAGTTAAACGGAACATGGAATAAATGAACGTAATGCTTGATCATAGGTGGAAAATGTGACTAACGTCAGAGATGGAATTCATGGTACATAGGAAGGAAGGAGAAAGCTCCAGGGGGAAGTTACAGAGGAATGGCGCTCCACTTAAACTGACAGATCAGGCAAGGGAAGAGTTTTTCATAGAAGCAAAAGAAGAGGCCCGTGGGAACTGTGGAGCAGCCGCAGAGATCTACGGCTCCGGTGAGAGAATCCGTCCGCCCGACAGCGAGGAACTCTGCACTCTATAAATATTAACATTCTGGAAAAAGTGTGAGAATTCAGGCGAGAGGTGGAAGAAGGTATTCCATGAAATGAGACCAAAATCAAACATGCAGAATGTTCAGCTATGGAAGCTGTCCAGTGCTGATGCTGGGATGGAGGAGGCTGAATCAGGGGAATCCTGGATTCTACTGGGCCAGAGGTGCCCAAAACTACAGTTAGGATGGCCTAGTCAAAGTCCAGTAAATTTACTCTTAAAATAAGATAATTAGATAATATGCACTTGAAATAAGACAACGTAGTTGTGTTTTCTTATTTTAAGTGTAAATTGTCTTGTTCAATTGACAAAATGTCTATTTTAACTCCTCAATTCAAGAACAAATGCACTTATTTTAATAAAAAGTGGCTTATCTTGATTTAGATTTTTTTGCAGTGTAGGACATGAGACAATGTGGTCTTTAAAGATACTCTACATTGCAGTAAAAATTATCTCTATGAGGGGACAATTTTCCCAAATCATGCACCAACACTCTAATCAATGAATAAACCTGAAGGTTGTCGAGATTCACTTCCTTTCTACCCTGGATAATGTCCTCGCTGCTGATTAGAATCAACCGATGCACGGTTTTATACGGAGCCCCTAAAGTTACATGGAGGAAAAAATAAATTTTGCGATATCCCACAATACTTTTGCGAGATCTCGCAAAAAATAAGCTTTTGCGAGATCCCGCAATACTTTTGCTAGATCTAACACACTGTTGTGTGTTTTGTAAAACAAACACACAACAGTGGAGGTGCAAAGTGTACTGCTATGGGAGGAAAATACGCCCATGTGTCAGCTACAACCATGGAGGATGATTTCGAATGGTTCTTAATTTATAGAGAAGTCCCAAAACACGAAATTACACGAATGAAGAGAGACAAGGTCAGTATGGCAATCCTACGGAGCTCCTAAAGGGACATGGAGGGAAAAAATTAACTTTTGCAAGATCCCGCAATACTTTTGCGGGATCTCGCAAAAGTATTGCGAGATCTCGCAAAAGTTCTTTTTTTTTTCCTCCATGTCCCTTTAGGGGCTCCGTATTTTTAAGGCTGGTACTGTTTTTTTTTTTTTCTTGGGGCTGAGTTTTGAATCTCAAATTGCTTTTTTTTCCGTCCATTTACATGATAAAAATTAAATAACTACAATGAATGTTATGCAAGTCAAAATTTAAACAAGAGAGAAACCTTTATTAACAAATTAAAACATTAACAGTGGATAGCAGATGGAGGGAACACTTCTCAAGGCGTTACTGCCGAATGCACTAATGAATTAGTTAAAGCTGGTTCGCATTGACTTAAAGCTCTACTTATATAAACAGTTAATTGTTCTCAGCTTTCTTGTTAAAGACGACCGATACGTCAGTTGGATAATATTTTTGGCCAATATTAGTTTTTTGTTTTGTAGATTTTTTCCTGTTTGATCCGTGCATACGTTAAATTAGAGCACTCAGTAGCTGCAGAGTATGGAGTTAATTTTGTTTCATTATTGTTGCAAGCAATGAACACGTTTTGTAAATGGAAATTTAAAAAAAACATGCAATCCAGGAATTAATCTTTAAAAAGCATTTTAATCCAATGTTATGAGAGAAATGTTGCTTTTTTCTCAGATTCGTTTTTTTTTTCTTTCTTTTTTTTAAAGATTTTTTTCACATATTTTACATTTTCAAATGTAAAATTGTTTTTCAGATTAAGTTTTATGATTTGCATACTTTTCAAACTGGGTTTTATGGATTGCCAAGATGCATTTCTATTGGTCGGCTCGACGTTAGCAACATCCTTTTTATTGATCAAGAGGAAGCGTTCATTTAATTTGAAGTGAAGAGAATCTGATCTGTAAATTGCAATTGGGAAAGTTTGCATTTCCTACTTTATTTAAAAAACAGAAATGTAAAATATGTATATCTAAAATATCTATAAAGATTTTTTTTTAACATAAAACTAGAAAAAAAACATTTTTTTTAAGTTTAATTTGTGGATTGCATTTTTTAATTTCCTTTTTCAAATGTTTTTTTTTTATGTAAAACGATAATGGAACTAGTTTTTCTCTATACAGCCATGCGTGGAGGTCATGTGAAGCACATTCATGCATCGACTCTCCCTCTCTTTGGTATATATCACTTATGTTTTTTAATTGTTAATAAACGTTTTTCTGTTTTTTTGAGACATATGTTACATATATTATCATTTTTATCATATAAATGAAGGAAGATTAGGGATCAGTTAAACTGATGTCCAAATAACCAGCTTTAAAAAACCTATCTGTACCTTTAGGCCATTTTCTCAGTAACCCAGTCGGTGCCAAATAATGATCTCCTCTGTCATATAATGGGGGGATTTTGGGGTTCTGAGCCCCTCGGTCATATTCTGGACATCAGGTAGAATCTAAATCAGATCAGTGCTGATATAAAACATGTTTCTCCTGCGTTCCTTTTCTCTCGTACTCGTTCAGATCATCAGGCGACTGCAGGAACTCCTTTTGATGGTTCTTATCCCAGATTCCTCCATCATGTGCACTGCGTTCTGTGGCCGTGTGGGTTCCCCCTACAGCCCTACAGGGATCGGGGGGGTTATTTCCTCTTATCCCCTTTGTCTCTGATGCATTTGCAACAATAGCTTCGCTTTCAGATGAATGTGATGAGCAGGCAGATAGACAGAGGTAGACAACGCCTGACACGGCGAAATCCAGGGAGGGATCGACTAAAGCAGGAGAAATAAAGAGGAGGAGACAGTAGCAGAGAGAGTCTAACGCCGCAGCGCGTTCACGCCCGTCATCTTCGTCTCCCAGGGTTAGCTGTGCTGTGAAGGTGTGCGTCTGAAAGTGAGAGGCTGTCACTGCTTTCTCTTAACGTACTTCAATCACAATTTTCTGTTAAATATGAAACATATCAGCGTCTTTTCAGAGGAAGCTCCACCCTGTCCTACATGGAAGCAGAGCTGGAATCTGACAGAACCATGTGTCTCTGTGTTTCCCCTCCACAGGCCTGTAACGAGTTCACCACCCACGTGATGAACCTGTTGCGGGAGCAGTCGCGCACGCGGCCCATTTCGCCCAAAGAGATCGAGCGCATGGTGAGCATCATCCACCGCAAGTTCAGCTCCATCCAGATGCAGCTGAAACAGAGCACCTGCGAGGCCGTCATGATCCTGCGCTCCCGCTTCCTGGACGCCAGGTGCGTATCCCCGTCTCACCGTGTGCTCACATGTACAGGAGGAACACCCAGCCAATAACAGCTCCCGCTAACAGTTCCCCTTTTTTTAATGTAATCGCTTGTTCTCTTTGATGCGTGCTTTTGGATTTGCATACATTTCTCTGAGGATAAATCCCTCTCAAAGCCTAGGTTGGAGGCATAACATTTAAATGAGGCGTGCGCTCCCGTATAAAGCCTCACTCTATATTCTCCTGCAAATGAACACGGCGGCGAAGCAGCGAGGGATGGGAAGAGCGAAGCCTCCCCTCCCCGCTTGATGCTCTGCTCCTCTGATTAATCTACTGGCTGCTGGAGCTCCTGCTGTGAACATTTACATATTTTCTAGTGAGCTCGTTGGAGCTGGCAGGGAAGGGGGGGGCAGAGGTTTTAGCACAAATCTCCTCAACCAGTCGATACATGCGAGGAGATTTTACAGCTTCTCTCCAGCTTATGTAAAGCTCCGCTCAGCTATGACCTGATAGGTGGAGAAGATGGAGGGGTCAGCCGACTCCAAGGCTCCTCACTGCTGCAAAGTATGTTGGCAGATAAATATGTTGGTGAATGGAATATATGTAAGATGTACAGTGGCCCTGAAGTGCAAACTGCAACTACAAATCTAAAAGCACAACTACATTAAGGAAAACAATTACATTAACCTACCGGAAAAGGTAGGTACCAGTGGGAAACATGAGACATCGCTGATTGGACGACGGCGCCGTTTGACCCTTGAACCGGAAGTTGCGTCGTCTGAACAGTCCAGCTTCTTTTAAGTGTGTCTTCAGTGTACGCAAACTAACTGAAATTTCGTGATTAGTCTTGAGCATATCTAGCATCACCTCGTACATATGTCCTGATTGAAAATATTCCTGGGTAACGGCAGCTATGTTTGTAAAAGCCACAGCAGGCAGAATGACTTCCGGTTCAAGGGTCAAACGGCGCCGTCGTCCAATCAGCGATGTCTCATGTTTCCCACTGGTACCTACCTTTTCCTGTAAGTTAATGTAATTGTGTTTTTCTTAATGTAGTTGCGCTTTGCTTTATGTAGTTGCGATTTCCTTAATGTAGTTGCGCTTTGCTTTATGTAGTTGCGATTTCCTTAATGTAGTTGCGCTTTTAGATTTGTTGTTGCAGTTTGCACTTCAGGGCCACCGTAAAGATGCCATTAAAAAAACTCGTAAAACTTGATCTGAAAAAGAGAAATGTGAAAATATAAAATGTGGAAAAAAAGGAAAATTAGAAATTTCAAAATAATAAAAACATTTTTTTGATCGAGACTGGTTTCAAAGTTCGTTTCTGATCCACAAATGTTCTCTTCTTCATTTACAAAATGTGTTTTTTGCTAAAAACAATGGAGTTAAATGGAGTGACACATTGCATTTTCACTCTAAAAGCTGAAGCTCGAAACTTAGACTTTAAAAAAATAAATGTTCCTGTTTAGGAGCATAAGTATGAAGCCCCTATGATGACGGGTTGAAATGGTTGAATTTTAGGACTATAATTGCTTTTACGTGTTTAGGTGGCTGGCAGTAACGGGTCTCTATTGATTTCTCCATCATGGTCATCAAATAAAACATTCAAATGTTGAATAAAGAGGAGAGATAGTTTGATAGAGGGGTGAAGGAAGCCATCTTTGTTAAAAGGGAAAAGCTGTCACTAAACTGAGCAGAGGACTTCAGCTCCTAAACATATCCATTTAAAATGACCTAAAACTATCTCATCAGATGGCCAACACCAGACAACAAGCACACATGAACTTTATGTCTTAAGGGTCACATTTTAGCTCATCTGAAGGAAAATCTGAACCTACTGCATTGTTTTAGCGCTTGGATCAGCTGGAGCGTGTCTACATTGAGTCTTTTCTGATGTGTGTCTTAAGATGAGGTGCTGTGAACAGGATCTAGTTCTATAGACGTTAGTGATGTAGACACTATCAGCACCTACTGGCCTGGCATTCATATTGCAGCTTTTTTTTTGGAATTTCAGAATAACAGTCTGTTCACAGATAGTTTAAGAGGAGCAGGAGATAAATGGAGTGAACTTTGCTCCATTATTTTTGTAAATGGAAATTTAAGGAAAATATAATCCATTTTTTTCTTTTTCTTTTGAGAGTAACTCTGTGTTTTTCCTCAGATTTTATGTTTTATTTGCTTTGTTTTCAATTGTAATGTTTTTCAATTTCTTTCACTAATATTTTATTTTCAAAATCTTGAAAGTTTTTTTTTTTTTTCAAGTTGACTTTTACACATTACATTTTCTTTCACATTCCCTTTGCTTGGAGCCCAACCCAAACGCTAGAGATTTAACAGTATAAATGTTGTTCCTAACGTCCAGCAGATCAGACAGAAATGCCTCTGATCTGGAAAACACAATTTGAAAAGAATGACATTCAAACGCAATCTAAAAAAAACTTAGATTTTAAGAATAAAATTTGAGAAAATAAACTGTAATCACCTAAAACTTGGAAAATAAATGATAAAAAATTATTGGAAAAAAAGGATTCCCTTTTCCATAAATTTCACTTTAACAAACATGTTTTTGCTTGCAACAATAATGGAACAAATTTCATTCCATAGGATGAAGTGCTGTGACTGACTATGCTGCTCCTCTTTTTGTAGGCGGAAAAGACGAAACTTCAACAAGCAGGCGACAGAGATCCTGAACGAGTATTTCTACTCTCACCTCAGTAACCCGTACCCCAGCGAGGAGGCCAAAGAGGAGCTGGCCAAGAAGTGTGCCATCACAGTGGCCCAGGTACGAGCAGATCAGAGCCCCCCGCGGGAACGTCTCTGTACAGAGCACTGCGAGACATGAGGAGGCTGTCAGCGTCTGGACGGGTGACCTAGGCTTTTACGGATTCAGACAGCCCTTATACTCTTATTCTACACTTTTATTAGCGCACAAACAACAATCCAAAATGTAAATAGATATCTTCCCCGCAAAAAATGTAAATCTAAATAAGTAATTTTCTCCTAAACTAAGTGCATTTGTTCTTGAATTGAGGAGGTAAGTGAGACACTTTGCCAATGGAACAAGACAATTTACATTTAAAATAAGAAAAAGCAACTGCATTGTCTTATTACAAGTGGGTGTTATCTAATTATCTTATTTTAAGAGTAAAAATACTCATTCCATTAGCAAATCATCCCATTTACCTACTAAAATGAAGGTAAAATACATTTGATTTAAGGAATTTTTACTTATTTCTAGATTGTTTTTGCAGTGTTCAAAGTGAAATCAGTTGTATTCAGGGCTCTGAAGTCGCTGTTACTGCTGCTAGTCCGTAGAATAAACCCAACTGTTCTATGAAGGCCTCAGAAAACTTAGTGGAAGAAGAACCTCATGAAGACTGAGGACACTGCAGACGGGTCAGAGAGAAACCTGTGGAACGTTCAAAACGAGGGTCTATGGCTCCGTGGGAGAATCTGCTGAAAGGAAAAAAAAAGTCTTAATCTAACCTGAAACATTCAGAAACCAGTTTACACTTTATAAGGGACTAACATTAGTTTAGTAATTAAATGGTTTTTAATTAGTTGGGGTTTTTTTAGGGGAGTGTTGGCCTAGTGGTTAGAGCAGTGCGCTCCCCACAACCTACACTCTGGGTTCCTTAGCAAAGACCCTTAACCCCACACTGCTCCCCAGGCGCCACACAATGGCAGCCCACTGCTCCCCAATGGGACGGGTTAAATGCAGAGTTAATCTCTCCATTGTGAGATCAATAAAGTTCAGTTTCTATCCTTTTGATTAATCTAAAAGGAGATACTTTTAGTAGGTCAACAAAAAATGTAAGTAAAAAATTTTACTTATTCGATCCTTCTAAAAGTGTCTTTAAATTCATGTTTAGTCATTTTATGGACAAAGAAAATTCAAATGCAGGTCATTTGAAACCCTTTTCATACCACTTTTTTTATTTAAGTGAGGGTCCGCACAAGAGTATAAAATTGGGTCTAGCTTTAGCAACATTAACAGTTTGTTCCCATGGTTTTCAAGGTACAATGGGAAACTACTTGGGTTCAGTATATAGCCCGTGTTTACTTCCTGGTTCCTGAGCCAATCATATGAGAGGATTTGGTGTTTTCAAATTTCAATTTTTTTAATTTCTAAATTTCTTTTGGCCTGAAAAAAACAAGACTACATTTTATTGGTCAAGAGCGATTTTGTATTGGGCTTAAAGTGTAGAGAAAGTGTTTTGTGAAAAGCAATTCTAAAAGAATGCGATTCATAAAACTTAATCTGAAAAAGAGAAGTAAAAAAATAACATTTAAGAATATAAATTAGAAAAGAAAAATAACCAGAGAAAGCAGCCCAGTTACTCTCTCCCAGCTTTGTAAATTGAATTTGCATGAAGCTAAAATCATTTATTAGCTATGCATGCATCCTATTGAAATGTATTTGGAATTAAAAAACAAAACATAATTAGATTGCAGTGTTTCTATTGATAGAAGTTATCGTAATAAAACAGCTGACTGGACTAAAAAAGTGTGATGTAATCATGTCGATTGGAAAGTTCTGCTCAGATATGTCAGGATTGGAATTTATTCTGATCACTATTTTCCGTGGAAATAGGCGAGTGGCGACCTAGGAATCCAGAGGTTCTGACCTGAACAAAAACCCTTAATCCTACACTGCTCCCTTGGTGCCGCACAATGGCAGCCCACTGGGGATGGGTTCACTTCATTGCTCTGTACCTGTAACAGTATAATGACAATAAAAGCTGGGAAAACAAATATAAAAAATAAATGTAGCTTCAGATGATACTTAAACTGGAAGCAGGAGGTAAATTCTGCCACACGAGGTCCTTGAATTTTTAGATCCTTGAAATTGAAACTGTTTATTCTTAACTAGAGCTTAAAAAAATAATAATTGGATTCATTAGAGATTTATCAATTATTGAAATAATCATCAACTAATTTTGTAATCACTTAAGCATCAACTAACATACAGACTCTCATGCAGTTAGCTGGAAACGCTAGTTGCAGGTCTAATTCTAACCGCTAACAGTTAAAATGCTGAATGTTTCAGAGAGGAGATGTCTGCAGCTCTTAGAGGAACATGTCCGCCTGTTAGGATTCTTACTGTACCAAAGTTTCTGTTATCCCAGAATATAAAGTGTTTTTGTTTTTTGTTTCATCTCTGCTCTTCAGAAACTCCACTTGTTTCAATCCTGTGAGAATTGATAATAAGGGAAAACAATGACGCCGCCAAGGTAAACAGCGGATCCATCATTTGGGAATGGATCGTTTTCTCAGTCGCCTTCATTAATTTCTACCAAATGATCTGAGGATGCAGCTGTGGCTCCACGGTGGAAGCTGCTCAGCAGCTCGGTGATTTGTGGAGTTTCAGTTTCTTGGCTATAACAAAGGAGAATGTTTACCTTCTCTGTCTATTAGAAACTTTGCAGGATTGATTTGGTTTTCATTTTAATGTTGTTTATCATTAGGGCTGGGATTACCCCCCTGGCTTCATCTGGGAGTCCATTAGCTGTAATGGGTGTTAGCGGAAGTTGACTGATTGGTGCTTGCGTGAGTTCTGATGATAGCTGCAGTCATGGTGACATAATGAGACCGTTATTGGCAATCATTCCATTCTGGCACCAATGCAGATTTACAGCACCAGTCTGACAGAGGCTCTCTGCAGTGTTTCACATGCCATTAAAGGCCATTCAAGCTAAAACGTTAGCTGTATTTCTTTAAAGAAGCTCTGTATGCTTAAACTTTTTTTTTTGTTTTATTGTTTTTTTTCCTGCTCAGGTTTCCAACTGGTTTGGGAATAAAAGAATCAGATACAAGAAAAACATTGGTAAGTTCCAAGAAGAAGCCAACATGTATGCCGCCAGAACTGCCGTGAATGCGGCTAATGCATCCTCACATGGAAGCCAAGCAAATTCACCCTCCACTCCAAACTCTGCAGGTGAGACAGGAAGTCCCTGGCTCGGCTGGGGTTAGACGTACACTTCCTCTCTGTCCATCAGTGTAACGCATTTAAGGCTTTTTCAGTGCTGATGCTGTAAAGGACAAAAACAGGCCACTATTCCACATATATGTTGCCCATCCCATATTAATGCGCTGTTAATAGGGTCCATGTTTATCCCGTAGCGAGCGTCATTAGCTCCTACGATGGCCCTGATGTTGCTTTCAGCAATGTAGAAAAGAGCTGGTGGGGTTAAAGCAACCTGAGCCCTCATGCTAAGTCTCCATATCTTTACTGTCCTTCCTTCTCAGCCTCATTAACCCGATGTTTGCCTTTTCAACGCTCTGTGTCATGATTCCCTAATGGCATTCAAAGGATAAGTCTGGTGATAAAAATCACTTTGAAAGTCCAAACTTTATTTCAACACTGCAAAAAATGTAAATCTAAATAAGTATTTTTTTCTTAAAATAAGTAATTTTTTTCTTGAATTGAGGAGGCAAGTGAGACACTTTGCCAATGGAACAAGAAAATTTACATTTAAAATAAGAAAAAAATAACTGCATTGTCTTATTTCAAATGCATATTATCTAATTATCTTGTTCTAAGAGTAAAAATACTCATTCCATTGGCAAACGAACTTATTTGCCTGCTCAAATTAAGAGTAAAGTCCCTTAATTTAAGAATTTTTGTACTTATTTCTAGATCGTTTTTGCAGTGAAAGCAAAGGCTCACAGAAACAAGGCAACCTGCTTTCAAAAGGCTTCACCACATACCAGAAAATTCAACCTTAAACTCACTCCCATTATTTTAACAGGATTCCTATAGGTCTTTAAAAGTTTTTTGAGTTTGAAAAAATAAGTTCAAGGCCTTGAAAGTTTTAGAAATTACTCATTAAAAGCCACCTGTCCTTTTTTCAGGACATGTTTTGCCAAAATTTGATATTTAGATGCTAATGCTTTTCTATTCAAAAGCAAAGAATGAATCACCTGAGTGAAGTTGGCTCCCCCACCTTCTTCAAATCAGACAAAATTAGTGTCAAACGTTTGTGCAGCTAAAACAGATGTTAACTGACCTTTGATGACCTCTACAGAATATTAATATGATTAAAATGATAGCAGTACAAATGAAAATGTTTGCCATGTAAAATTTTTAAATAAATTTTAAATATAAAATATTTAAAATATATATATTAAAAATAAAAAAATGCATATTTTAAAATATGTAAATTTTTTGTACTGCTATCATTTTAATGATATTAACTAGGGATGCACGATATTGGGATTTTGGCCGATATCCGATATGATGATATTTTAAAACTCATGTAGCCGATAACCGATATCGATACCGATGTTAAAGCTGGACAAAAATAAGTAGTCATTGAA